AAAAAAAAAAATCTTTATTTCCACTAATTTTAATTGAGATATAGTACTTCCGTTAGTTATGCATGCAGGCCCCAGACCACAGCACTATCAGTCATGCCTGTGACTTTATCTCCAGCAGAGATCACAGAGATTTTCATAACATGGTAACAATATTATTCTTGAAATATCATTTAAGCTCATCACTGTTATGAAACCATGGCAGTTGTTAGACCTGCCGCTGGATTTCATTATTTTACATGTTCATAAAGAGGCATATGTATTAGCCATACCTCAAATTGTCTTTAAAAATGGGAAATACAGCTGGTTTCTTTTGTAATCCTATGAACTTAATTTTATGCAATTAGAAACATTTTGCTGAGAATGTTTGGCCTTCCAAAGGGGGCCGTGGTGCAAAAAGTAAAGGATCCTGGTTTGGCGCAAACTTCACCCCAATCCTGTTCCTGGCCTTGCCCCAACCCTGGCTTCTGGGGGAGCTGAGCCCCTCCTCCTGACCCCCATGAGGGGAAAGCTCAGGGGTGGCGCCTCAGTTCACCCAGCGCCAGTAGGAAAGCCCTCACTTGTTCTGTCTCTGCCCTTTGGTGTCACTCACCCAAGCCCTTTCTCCTTCATCCTCTTCCTCTCCCCTTCATGACCCCTTCCACCCCCTCACTCTGAGCCTTCCTTTCAGCCTAGTTTTGAACATCCCTGAGGATAACATCTTTTCTGTGGCTCCCTGGGCGAAGCTACCACCAGCTGTGGCTCATTAGATACTTGGATACGCTAGAAGCAGCACCCCCTCCATGCCTCAAGGGCAAGAGGAGTCTGGTTCCAAACAGCGAGCAGTGGGAGGGGGACCAGGGGCATCTGAGTGTGGATTGTACCCTCGGAGTAGGAAGCAGGCCTCTGGCTGCCCTGCAGAAGGTGTGAGAGGTTTGCCTGACTCTGATGAGTAAAGGCCACCAGCCCCCAGCCAACCAGGGAAGGATAGCTCAGTCTCTGCCAGGAAGCTGCTTTCTTGATACAAAGAAAAGGAGCCCCACCCAGGCTCCACCTCTGAAGCTGGGCTCTAACAGCTGAGCAGGGCTGCTGCAGGCCAAGCCCAGGGACTACCCTGCATGCTCCCAGGGACTCACGGGCACATGCGCCAGGCTGTCCCAGGGCACCCACTGCTTCCCTGAGCAGGCAGGCTGGCTCTGCTGAAGCTGGACCCCGAGTCTGGGCAGAGGTCTTAAAGCAGGTGCAGAGAGCAGGTGCTCCCCTCTCTGACTGACCTTCCTCCCAGCACTGTTTCTGCGAAGGTCCAAGGCCAACGTCACAGACTGCAAATTGACCTCAGTTTTCTTTGGCATTGTAAAAAATAATAAAAGTCATCCACCAAGCCAGGTGTGGCTCAGGTGTAGGCCTCTGCCCACCGGACTAACACCTGCTCATCTTTTTGGAGCCACCTCAAGCATCAGCAACTCTTTGCACCCTGCCCCTCACTGCTCCCCCCTGCCCCGAGGGAGAACTGTGTGCTTGCCAGTGCCTGGCACCAGGGCCTAGCATCATGGCATCTGTAGCAAACACGCTTTTCACTTTTTTTATTGTTTTTCTCTCTCTCTACTCAGCTACAAGCTCTGTGAAGGCAAGAGCTAAATTTGTTGACTCTGCTGGCATGCAGTAGGCGCTTAATAAGTGGTTCATAAATGAATGAATGAATGAATGAATGAATGAATGGCAGTTAGTTTTCCTCATTCTGAGGCAGAGGNTGACTGACTGACTGACTCACTAGAATAGATGAATGGATGAATGGATGAATGGGTGAATGGGTGAATGGGTGAGTGAGCTGCCATCTCAGGCATGCCTGCTCCCTGTCAGAAGTGGGTTCGTGCCTCTGACGATAGTGACAGTAAGCACCATTCCTGAGCTAAAACTCGAAGTGGGTCTTCGAGGTGTCCTACCTCCCCTTTCTCTGCCTTTCCTCTCCAGGGAACTCTCCCTTCTATGCACCAATGGCCTCTTCCTGTCTAGACTCTCCAGATGCAGTGAAAAAAGATTCAGTGAACTCTGTCTCAACAACATGACGTGGCACGTGTCACCTCTTGAGGACATACACATCTTTAGGCAGCCCTCCCATCACCCTGCTCCCACAGTGCTTAGCCCAGAGAAATGAATTGCTAGTGCTGGAGAATCAGACACCAATGGGAAAATTATTATGGGCTAGCAGTAGCCTTCTGGAATGGCATAAATCAGAACGTCTACTTACCCATGGAGACTTGAACAACTAATTTCCTCATGGCGGCGTGGATTGGCCCTCTCTCAGCCTGCCCTTCTTCTGTCCTCACACCATGAGGGTCCTTCCAAACATGCATGGGGACACCCCAGCCTTCGTGTCCAAGGCCCATCCACACCCTGACCAACAATCACCTCTTTGCCCCCTCAGACCTAGGGTTGTCTGCACTGGTGGTGTCGCCCACCCCCTGGAGAATGGGCCCAAAGAGGAGGCCTGCTTAGGCTCTGGAAGTGGGCGGGTGACTGTCTAGGCAGGGAGTTCTGAATCTTAGTACCTGAGGCCTGATTTATAGGGGAAGTGACCTCAGGATGGACACGTCTCCTTAATCCCCCAGACTCCTCAGCCCAGCTGGGGCTTGGCCACAAGAATGCCAGAGTGCAGCCTGGGGCCAGGGCCCTCTCCCCAGGGTTTAAGGCTTGTGCCCCTGACCTGAGCTGGCATGTAGAGACAGGTGCTCAGCCAACATCAGATGGCACAGGCTGAGTGGGGTGATCCCACCAGAGTCCTGGGTTTGGTGGGTTCTTAGTTCTCTGGCCCAGGCGGTGGGCTCTCTCTCT